TCCCTCTGCAGGCCGCTGCCCTGGAAAGCTGCGGGGCGGCTGCTTCACTTCCCTCTCCCCCGGAACAGAGTGCAGGGATCGGAGTCCCCTGCCTACACGTGTGCCTGGCAGGGGTAGTAAGTGTGTGGTCACTGCTCCCATGCTAGGGCCATCCCCACAGACAGCAGGCCCCCTGGCCCTCCTCTCGTGCCCGGCACACCATGAGGCTCCAGAGGACCACGCAGTCCTCTGTGCTAGGCCACAGCACTGCTACCAACCTGTCCCCAAAAGCTCCCCTAGAAGGGGAGGCAGCCTGCAGCCACCTGAGCCAGCCTTCAGTTCTGCTGGCGCTCCCTGTCTTCACAGCATGTCTCCACTTACCTTCCCCTTTTCACTGTGCATGGTGGCAAACCTTCCAGGTGGGACTGGGAAGGGGACAGAGGGAAGAGACGACCCTCTCTGTGCCTCTGGAGCGTCATAGGGTGTCAATCGGCCCAACGTACTCTTTCTGTCAGGGCGTCTGTCCCCACTTCCAACCACCTGGCACCTGGCCCCGTGGTGGCCACAGCACCCAGGCCTAGAGTGTGGGACAATCCTGTGACAGCATGGTACTCCATTCCACCCAGCCCCAGGGATGGCTTCATGGAAGAACACAGGAGGCATGTCTGGCGATCAGAGTTCTCTCCTGTGCTTGTTGCCTGCACTCTTGGGAAGCATTTGGTCCCCTTCTCTGGGATCTCTGCACAGGGACAGTGTGAGTGTGGGACCGCCACTGGGCATCTTGCAGCCGAGTAGAGCATGCCTGGTTGAGGGTCCCCGATGTCTCTACAGCCTCCTCCACCCCTCCTTGGATTTCCCAGTTGTGAAAACTAAGACCGCCCTGCTTTTTTCTTCTGAAAGTGGTCCGGCATTTCTGAGAGTTTCTGTTTCTTAAGTCTGAAAAGGTCCTACCAAACTCAAAAGGACAGTGCCTTTCAATCTTCCACAAATACCTAAGTGTCCCCTTGTGTTAAAACTTCAAGATCCCAGAGACCCTCCCTGAGGTCATCTCTAGGGTCTCAGAATAGACGAATAGGAGGGGACTGGCGGGCACCACGTTTAAGTAACATGGGAAGAGAAGAGGACAGGGGCTGGTCAGTCAGGGACTGTTTTAAATTCTGTGGGTGATGGGAGCTGTGGGTGGCTTTTGAGCAGGGCGGTAACATATCACATGCTCACAGGAACAGGGGCGATCTGGAGGGGTGAGCACACAGGGGTCTGTTGGTGTCTGGGGTGGAGAGTAAGGATTCCGGGGGAATCCCCAGGGAAGCCCCTATGGGACTTGGCAACTATCGGTGCTACCACTTGAGGTGTCACTGGTGCCACTGTGGGCACACGGGCAAAGAGCAAAGGCAGGTGGTGCTGGGGGGCAAGGGAAGGTGCACCCAGCCAGTGCCTGGCAGGGTGAAACAGGGCCTGCAGGCATGTCCACTTAGAACCATGCACTCAGAGTCCCAGGGCCCAAAGCAACATGGGTCCCCAGAGCCCACCTAACCTGATCCCTAATTTTATTGATGTCTGAACTGAGGCCAAGTAGCAGGAAGGGACCTGCCAAAGGCCACTTGGCATGTCACCAGCAGAGCCAGGCCTGGAGGTAGATGTCCAGAGCCACAGTCCAGAATCTGCCCTGCCCACTCCAGCCCCAGGCCATGATGCTCTTTTTCACTCTGGGAAATGACTGTGGGAGGTCATTTAGCAGGGAAATGGGGCCTGCCTGGGGAAGGTGTGTTGAACAGTAAATAACTGGGAGGAAGGACAGAAGGAGAGCTTTGGTTGCAATGGATTTCTTCAGAATTTTTAAGCCAGTCAGGGAATATTGACATGAATTAAATCCAATAAAACATTCATTTAATTAAACTTTAAGTGATCCAAATATTTGCTGTTTGGTTAATATTTGTGTAGCTGACAGGAGCAGCATTATGATGGTTCTGTCAGTATTCACGCATTCTAATTTTGCATGAGCCTTTCCTACGCAAAGTGCACATCTGCAGACATATGAATGATCCGGGAAGCACTCAGGAAGGATGCTGGAGCCAGCTGTCCCAGCAGCCCTCCCACTCAGATTTTTACCTGTTTTTAGCCCTGTGCTAAACTTATTGAAATACATGACTTTGGGGCCACAGGGAGGATCCTGCATTGCACATAGGTCTTACGTTGCAAATGAGATCCCAACCAACCAGAATACCTCATGTCCCCATCCCTGGACCCCCAGCACTCTCCCCTTCCATCTACCCAGAAACCCCCCTCCGTCTTTTAGGCAGTGGTTGTCAGGCCTCAGCGTCCCATGCAAGCCCCTGAGATGCTTGTTAAAATTAGGATACCCCCACCCCTCCATCACCTGAGTCTTTCAGCCTGGGGCAGAGGGGCAGGAATCTGCGTTTCTATCCATTGCCCCCGAGATGCGATCCAGTAGTAGGGGACCACACCTTGAGAACAGGAGCTCTGGCCCAGGGACATCCCGCCTCCTCCAGGGGCTGCTGGCTGAGTGCTTCGTTGTCCTTTCCCGTGTAGTTGGACCAGAGCTCCACCACGCAGCGAAAACGTGATTTCCTTCTGTAACACGCATGCCTTCTCCGCCAGCCCCTGCCACCTGCGCTGGGAGGACAATGTGCCTGAACGTTCCGTCCACTGCAAAGCTTAGTCTGAGCAGGTCGTTCTAACAAGTCCGTATTAAGTAATGCTCTATCTAAGAAAAGTGCCCTATGCCTCTGGTTCCCACCAGCATCCCCAGCTGCCCCCCACACTAGCTTCTGAGTGTGGAACAGAAGCAAGCAGGTGTCCTTTGCCACCATCGGTGCCCCCTGCAAAGACTCCCAGTTGCCCTGTCTCAGGTCCTGCTCTTGGTGTGGGCTGTCTCAGCATCTGATGTCCCCTAACAGCTTGGCCTCCGCAGCCCCTGCTGGCACGACGCAGCCCCGGAGGCTCCAGGGCCGTTCCCTTAGGGCCTCGGGCTCAGAGGTACACAGCACCTCACGGCCCAGCTCGTGTGCGCCGGGAACCGTTGGACTTGTCCGCGCCACTCAGGAGCCCAGGGGCTTCTGGCAGATAATCCCGGCTCTTGGCTCTGTGCCTCGCTTCCTGTGCTCACCCCAGGGGGGAGGGGGAGGGGTGCTTAACTCCCTTCTAGAATCCCCTTTGGCTCCCCTCACCTACGTGCCAACAGGCACACCCTTCTCACGGGTTCCCTCATCCCCACAACACCCTGGGAAGAGGAGGGGGTCTGCTGCCTATTTCCACAGAGCCTCATGGGTCATCTGATGAGGAAGGCATACTCTTCTTCACTCGGGGACAATTCTGGGTTCCGAATCCTCAGGGTCAGCACAGCACAGGAGGCAGACCAGCGTGGCACGTCCTCCTCCCTCTGTCTCTCTGCCCCCTCTGACTCTCCAGAGCCTACGGCCTGCTAGGGAGGATGCGTGCCTTCTCTCTCCTGCCCTAACCAATAAGCCTCATGACTCAGAGGTGGGAGGGCAGCAAGCAGGACGTGATTTAAGAGGGAACCTGAAATGCATCACTTTAATGTTTGTAAAATATTATGCCGCTGCGTCTGCATCAATCACTTGGTGCTTATCTTTCCCCGTGCGGCTCCTTCACGGGGAGTCACATTTTTCCTGTGCTTGAGTGCCCCCTCTCTACCGGCCTGTTGGCTCCTTTCCTTCCTTATTTCCATTTTCTCCATTTTTCATCCATCCATCCAACAAGCACTGATTAAGCACCTAGTGTATATCTTGCTCATCTCTGTGAGCCCAGGGCCAGGCCGTGGAGTGTTTGTGGCGGGGAAGGGGCTTTGCTACTCAGGATCTGACCTGACTGCACCTGCTCTCACTTCACCTACTTTGCAGTACATCACAGCTGCCACTGTTTTCATTCCTGCCCCTCCCTCCCCATCCCCCTCCACCCCCAACCTTCTCCCCGTGCTCATGAGCAAGAAGGTGTGAGCACAGACATGCTCCCTGGCCACGCAGTTCAAAAAGGTTGGTTCCCAACTCTGTGCTTTGCTCCACACCTGGCAGGGTCCCCAGGTCCCAAAAGAGTAGTAAGAGTGAGTAGGGCTCCCAGCATTTTTGTTGGCATCCCGGATAATCACAGACCCTCAGAGCCAGCCAGCCTGCCTCCCTCAGCTCATGCCACCTCTGGGCTGCTGCCCCAAGCGCTCTGAGTTGTAGATCTGAGGGAAGAGTAAGGAAGAGGCAATCCTGTCAGTAGGCTGGTAACTCTCCCTCCAAGCCTGATCCCATGTTGGTATATGAACAACTTGAGTCTCATTAATTTTCTCATAAATCCTGAAAATTTCTAAAAGCCTGTGGCTGCAAGCAAATATTTTAGATCCTTCCCATTTGCCTCAAGAATGATCAGTCTTAATGCTGGTTAGCAAGTATAAAATGGCAAGGATTAAAAATTTGTGCAGCCCGAAGTACGCTTCAAAAAAAATTAAAGACTACACTGCATGGTTGCTGAACAGAAATCCAAATCCGAGTTCAAAGAATCCTCAGACAGAAACAAACCTTCAAAGGTCAGCCAGTTCATTCCCCAGACTTCAGACAGTGCAACCTTTAAATTACCCCCAGATGGATGAGAGACCTGTCAGCTCAGCCAGCAGACCTTGACTGCACCAAGCAAGGCTCAGACTTCATGAGGCCCAAGAGCACAGAGCAGGGCGTCCGCCGCACATCTGGCTCCCCAGTCCCCGTGTGGCAGCCCACATTCTCAGCTCAACTGCTAAATCCATAGCCCAGATGGTTTCCCTACACTAGCTACAGCCTCTAATTTCTCTGACTCACAGAGCCCTTGGAACGTTTCTCATAAGTCACGAAGGAGTGTCCATCTGTACATTTAGATGGCACACTAAGTGAGTTCAACACACAGTTTTCAGGGAGCCTCAAAGCCTCCAGGCCCCTGCCCTGCAGGAAACCCCTGTGGCCATTGGCCCCACTCCACCCGCCGGATGTGCCCCTGACGACTTTCTCCTTTTCCCCCTGCAGAGGTGGTTCAGCTCCGCCTCGCCCCCGAGGAGAGGGTCAGTGTGGCCACAGTGACCGTGGGACTGAGCATCGTGCTGACCTGCGCTATCCGTGGAGACCTGCGGCCGCCCATCGTCTGGAAGCGCAATGGGCTTGCCCTCAACTTCATGGCCTTGGAAGACATCAGTGTAAGTCCCTCAGCTCTGACCCTGAACGCACACCTGCCCCAGGGAAGTAGCCTGCAAACTGCCTGTGGCAGTGGCAGGGCCAGAGGGTTTGATTTTCACACCCTAGTTTGATGCCTTTCAAGTCTGTTGTCTGATAGCTGGAGGTACCAGAAAATCCACGTCCCCCTGAGGACAGAGAACAGACTGGATGTTAGCTGCAAGCCTGCCAGCCAGACCCGCAAGAGGGCAAGGGCGCACTTGCTGGAAAGACACAGCGGGCAGGGCAGGACGCCTCCATGTAGGCTCAGGCTGCAACAGCGAAGTCCTGGCAGTGCGCATGGGAGTGGGAGGTGAGAGGCTCAGGCTGCGTGAGGGAGCCCACCACGAGGAAGGACCACGAGCCCACAGGAAACATGGCCAGGCAGGAGGCACTGGAGCGGGGAGGACATCTGGCTGGAAGAGCCAGGGGAGATTCCAGATGCCACAGCTGGGTAGGATGCAGGCAGGCATGGGGAGGGAACAGGGATTCCCTGGAGGGCTGGGATGAGCCTCCAGGCTGGGTCAGCGGGAGGACAGGCACCAGAAGAGCAGGTGGAAGGAAAGGGATCAGGCCAGAGTGGCCTGCCGTGGGGGCCTTGTTGGCTAGATGTGGAAATGTGGTGATGAGGTGAGTGGAAGAGAGAACAGCTGAGCACATGCAGCCTAACGTGACCAACGGGATCCTTCCGTTCTGTGAGGGTCCATGCAGCCTAGGCTGGGCTCCTAGTGTCACCCCAAACCAACCTCATGACCTTGAGCAACTTCTTAAACCACCTATCCTATTAGAAAACCAATATTGGCAGTACCACCCTTCCAGTGGACTTGAAGAAAAAAGGGAATAATTCAAGTATATTTATTGGCCCAGGTTTGGCCCAGGGAGTGAGGTGGCTTCCCAGAAGTTCATTGAGAAGAAAGAGTGATGTAGGACACTGCCAGGACAGCTAACAGGTCTTAGCCAGAGTAACAGGCATATAAGTTTCAGGCAGAAGAGGGGGCAGTCCTGGTCTCCTTAGATCAGGACAGGAAAACTGGCCCAGAATGGATGCTTGGCCCAGGGAAGGAAGACTTGTGGGATGCGTGATCAGTTCCCACTAACATCTATAAGATGGTGAGAAAGGTGCTAGGGCAGCAGGAGCCATACGTTCAATAAGCACAGAGGGCCAGGGTGTTCCCCAAAAAGAAATCAATTTGGACGGCTGAGACGGAACACCATGATAGCCATCACAGCAGCCCTGAAATGGAGTGAGCGATCATAAGAAGCAGTGAGCCCCCCATTCCTAGAGGCATACAAGCTCAAGCGGGACGGTGGTCAGCAATGCCACTAGCCAGACGAGGACAGCTGAACCCCATAACCTTGAAGATTCCTTCCAACTCTTAGACTGCTTTGTAAGGAGAAAGCCCAGCATAAAATTCTATAGAAACCACCAAGTTGGGACTGTGCTACTCACTAGGCCCTTTGCTGCACCCAGGAGATCACGTGGGAAGCAGATGACAAGAGGCGGGCTGCTGTGGGGGTTTTATCTTGGGCACAGCCAGGCAAGGAGTCCCCTTCTCTCGCCCTTGTCACGTGGGGCAGATTGATTTCCTTGCAGCTTCCGGTGCTGAGTACAGCCTGAATCCTACCCATCTCCCAGTATCAATACCGGTACCACCGTAGTGGGTGCTTGATGGACAGATGCTGGGTGGGCAGAATCCTTTGTCTTCTGAGCCTGAGATGCCTCGGGCCTGTCTGAGATCTTAGCAAGGAGAGGTAATGTCCTGTTTGCAAAGACTGGGGTGTGTGTGTGTATGTGTGTGTGTGTGTTGGGATGCACAGTTTTGTGCGTGCAAAAGCTCTTGGGGTCGGGCATCAGCTTTAAACTGTATTTGGCCAGTGGTGATTAATTCAAAACTAGGACAGGTCTGCCCATGTCTGTCTGAACAGCCATGTGCATTACTTGGTGCTCTACTTAAATAAAGGCAGAGGCGGAGCTCCTCTTAATGCACTTGCCACCGCTTAATTAAATTACTTTGAGTGTTTTTCCCCTCCCTCGAACATGCCTCCAGCATCAACTCAATTGCATTTCTACTTTTCACAGTGAGGTTAGCAATTTGGGTTAATTGTGGGTGCAACTAGAGATTAATGGCCTCTTATTACCTCCCGGCAAACACTTGCTGCTCGTGGTCAAGTCAGCAGCCTGCAAACAGGCAGAGCCCTGTGCTGCCCAGAGACAAGCCCCGTGAGCCAGCCTCCCAGGATGCTCACCTGCCCAACATACACACGCGCGCACGCACACCTGCCTCCCTCTGCCGTGGGCAAGAAGGGAGACCGAACAGCCTACTGGTGCACAGCACAGGCTCTGAGGGCAAAGGGACCTGGGTTGAAGCCTCGGCTCTGCAGCTTCTTAGGTGAGTGAGCTTGGAAAGGGCACTTGACTTCTCGAAGTCTCCGGGTCCTCCTGTGTGACATAGGGATGAGTAATAGTGCCTGTCTCATGAAGTCAGTGTGAGGACTGAATGAGAAGACATATGTGATGGTCTTAGCACACGGTGTCTCATGCTATTATCACTCTCCTTAGCATCACTACTATTACTTATATTACTATCATCAGTATTATTATTGCTACTGCTGCCGAACGACATTCCCGGGCCCCTGCAGCCTGAGTCCCTGATAAGGAATGAGCAGCAGCCCCAGGAAGCTTCCCAGGCAGGGAGATACAACCCTGGGGTGTTCACATTCGGCCTGGGACACACTGACCAGCTGCCTCCAGCAAGGCCAGAGCAGCCCTGGGAAAGCTGGTGAACTTCTCTGAGCCTGTGTGGGAGTGAGGGTGATAATGTCCTCCTTCTGCGGGCATTTTCAGGTGAATGTGTTGTGCGAGGCGCCTAGCCCCGTGCCCAGCACCCAGCAGGTGTTCCTAAGTGGTGGCCCCACTCTGGAGTCAGTGATGACAGCTGCCCTAGGGGGAGGTCAGGCTGGAGACAAGTAGGCCCAAGGCATGCGCGTTCTTGGGCCATCTCTGAAGCAAGAATGGGTCAGGGGCAAATGGTGGGTATGTCGTTTCTAATGGCTGAGTAATATTCATATATATATATATATATATCCCATTATACATAGATTCCGTTATATATCTATATTCATATATATATATATATATATATATATATATATATATCACATCTTCTTTATCCATTCATCTTTCGATGGATACTGAGGTTCCTTCCACAGTTTGGCTATTGTGGACATTGCTGCTATGAACATCGGGGTGCAGGTGTCCTGCTATTTCACTGCATCTGTATCTTTGGGGTAAATCCCCAGCAGTGCAATTGCTGGGTCATAGGGTAGTTCTATTTTTAACTCTTTGAGGAACCTCCACACAGTTTTCCAGGTGACAGGCACTGAGGGGGGCACTTGACAGGATGCGCACTGGGTGTTATACTATATGTTGGCAAATCAAACTCCAATAAAAAAAATATACAAAAAAAAAAAAAAGAATAGGTCAGGGGAGAACAGCCCCAGTGGGGACTAGGGAACAGAGAGGTGGCCCCGAAGGAATGAAGACTGGGGATGGGTGAGTTCTAGAGCTCCTCGGTGTGTGCACACCCACCCCCGCCCACCGCAGCCACAGCTGGAACCCCCCAACCCCACCGTAATTAGCACCTGGCACAGAAGGGCTGCATCCACAAAACCCAAGACAGGCAAATGAGAGAGCGCCAAGAGGTGTGAGCCTCCTTTCTTTGTCATTTGTACAAGACATCTTGATTGGCAACAAAATATTAATCACTTTTTCACTGCTCTCTTAATGAGAAGCTTTCATGGGCAACAAAATATTAATTTGTCTTGTCTTATCTGTTAAGAATTCTGTTAATGAATTCAGTCACAGAGCTATTACAGAATGCCATCCTAATGACACATGTAATTAAACTTTTCTGACTTGCAAACATCAAGGATGCCTCAAGCATCAGAATAATATTTGATCAGAAAGTAAATGTACCTCCCTAGCCTGGAGCCAAGTGTGAAGGAGCCTCTCGGATTCCCCACTGAGCAGTGTCACCGTCAGGAGCACTCACAAGCCACCCGACGTGTGCATGGCTGTCCAGATGGCATATAGGGGAGTCATCCTCTGGATTCACCAAATGCTGGTGACTCGCAAGCCGTGAACCAGAGTGTAGAGCAAAGACACCCTCCCCAGCCCCAAGGGGGTTGATGCATCCACAAGCACAGAATTATAATACAGTATGGCATATTCTAGGTTAGAAAGAGGGAGCCAGCTCTGGGGGCCAGAGGGAGGAGAAGTTCTGGCCTCCAGCAACAGGGACAAGCAAGAGAGAGGTCTAAAGGGGCAAGGTGGGGCCAGAACCTGACAGGTTTTGAATGTTAACCTACAGGATCTTGGCCACCCCCTGTAAATGATGGGAACCATAGATTTTTAACTGGGGAGTGACATGGTCAGAAGTTTATCCTATAAGAGTCATGAGGCTCTTCTAGTCTAAGACTACATGTGTAACCGAGGAGAACCCCAAATACTGTCAGGCCCCAAAACGAAAGGAGCCTGCTGGGTTCCCTAGTGGCTAGTGGCTTTGAACTGGGAGCAGCACCCCAGGCTGTGTAGGGCTCCGGGCTCAGCACAGTGCCCTCCACTTCTTAAGGCTGCCAGCAAGCACCTGGTGTGCCTCAGCCAACCCTTTGCAGGAGGCCTGAGCCTCACTACAGCCCAGGGCCTGATGATGGACGGACGGACAGATGGGCCCTTGGCTGCATCTGGGAAAACAATTCCTCCCCCCCCCCCCCCCCAGGATAGACCAGCACTGGGACCAAGAGCACAGAGCCCTCAGAGATGGGCAGCAGCCTCTAGGCAAGGGAGCCCTGGATTATGGCTCCTCCTTCTGTTTGTTTGATGAGGAATCAATAGTTTCTATCCAAGGACACATTCCCCAGAGCTAACGAGAAATGACCTGTAATTTACTTCCTGGCCAAGCTGGTTTCTTTACTAAAGCCGTCG